GGGGGAAGGAGAGGAGAAAGAATAAAATAATAGTCGAGAATACTGATTTCATCCTTTTGAGTATACACCGGTGGTGACTGAAATTTGGTAGGCATAACTGTATTTCCTCGGAACGAAAGGGCCGCAGTTGCTACTATGACGACATTTTGTTTCCAAGACCTGCATCACTAATGTTCTGAGTATGTTTCTGTTGGGAACTCTTCGGAAGTTCTGCAAATTTAACTTCAATGCGCTGAGCCCCTTGCCTAGAAGGTTATTGTCCATTGCTTTTGCGACTCCCGGAATAATTTAGGATTATGAGTTTCATTTTCCTTGATGGAAGCGGAAAGACGATGTCGGAAAGACAATTTTTCTTTTATTTTTATAGTCCAAGTTAATGGTGAAATATTCTCAAGCGGAGTATCTTGTTGGAAATGGGCAGAAGTAAAGGGAGAAGAGACACAACAAGAAACGATCGCGGTCCATAGCAGCATGGGCCTGATCATAGCTTGGGACGAGATAGCTGGGAATTTCCGGATTTGTTAATTCTCTTCAGAAGACTGCTTCCGCCGAATGTCCATAACGGGTAATGGGACCTGTGATCATATATTTCTCGATGGCCCATCAATGTCTTGAAGGCAATTCAAAAGAAGATTTTAATGCAATGATCCTGTAACCCAATTCAACTGATACTAAAGATTTGGTTTCGAATTCAAGCTTCTCTTTTATAACAAAAAGGAAAGAAAACGGAAACGTCATTCCTAAGTGGACTCGCTGTCTCCAGAACAAAAGCTAGCACGGAAGAGGATTTGCAGTGCCGGCAGGAATGGCTGCTGCATCAAGAGCAAACAGTGGCATTGTGACAGGCAGCCACCCTCAGCAGCCATACTAACAACGCGATGCAGATTCACTTCATGGTTGACTAACATTCAAACCATGTCATCCTTTTCCGTTCTGACCTTAAGCCCTGTTAATTCACGTTTAAGATGCCAACTTTTGCTGTTCGCATTTGCAAGCTGGATTTTCAGCAATGTGATTTCTTTAGATGATGGGACGCTGTAGGCAATCAAATAAAACACACATTTTTATGCTGATAACACTTGTAGAATATTGAGGTAGTGGCTAATAATGCTGGATTTCTTTAGTTATTAGTCTACCGCTTGTGTCAATCAACCAAATGGAAGCCTCCGTGTCCCGCTGCTGATTAATTTTGAATTAGTTTTTTTTTCCTTGGCAAATTTGAATGCAAATTTTAGCTGTTCAATAATCCATATCGAAATAATAAAATGCAAACACAAATTTAACTATAATCAATTGTGAAAAGAAATTTAAAAAACGAACTCATCTCAATTGCAGCAAATAATAGAATGATTGATAGAGTATTCTCAGAATTTTCAAATGACAAGCTATCATAGTGCCTAAGAAAAAATTAATGCTTGTAAGTCAGCACTGCCAGTGAAAATACCATCTTTTGTTGTCAAACTAATTTCAAGATTCATAATATCTCAATACAAAGGGTCTCGAGAGACAGAGTTCTATACTTCTATCAAATCCCAAAAGCAATGGCTGAAGATAGCTATGATTTCCACCGCAAGTTAGACGAGCTTAACCACCTTGTATGGTCGAGAAGGTCAGGTTAGCAACCAGGCACACCTAGATGAGAATTCAAGTCCTATAATTTGGAAACATAAACTAGAGATATCTGGTAATGGCATAGATGTTTAAACACTTGAAAGAGAAGTGCTAGGATTAATTTTGTTACAAAGCCATCGTCTGAAAGTTTTATGCTCCTAGAAACACCGAGTATAAGAAGCATATAGCAACTTGAAAGAATAATACTACATCAAATTCACAATCTTCTAGACTTGTACTGAAAATGTCCCTCAGAGTTGCAAACTTTATCACTAAAGTCGAAGGAAAAAAAAAGAGAGGGGATACAAATAGATTTGGGAATTGGGCTTTTAAAATTGAAGTTTTAAAAGGTGTTTGAAATTGCAGCTAAAACATTATTTGTTTAAAATTATTTTTTAGTATTTTTAGATCATTTTACTGATATTAAAAATAAATTTTTAAAAATAAAAAAATATTATTTTAATATATTTTTAAATAAAAAATACTTTAAAAAATAATTATTTTCGCAATTTCCAAACATACTCTGCAGAAAAAGATTCGTAATTTCCAAACATACTCTGCAGAAAAAGAATTAAAGGCAGGCAAAAGAGCAAGTTGAAGCTGTAACATCGAATGGATAGTTTGCACTAGAGAAGCTGACAGAACCAGCTGTGAAAGCAAAGCTAGTCATGCCATGGGGTGTGCCAGATGGATTAATTGACAGAGACAATCGCAAGCAGCATCGAGCTTGCATGTAGCGCCCTAGAGGCAGACTAAGCAAATGGTTTTGTTCTGTGCATAACAATCCAAGCTGCTGTCTGGAATTTCCCTCTGAAACTAACGAATCACCCCAAATAAATTCCAATGTATCGTTAATAACTCAAGCAACAAATTCCTAATCTCTTTCAGCATCACAGGTTACCTTGTACGCTGATACGAAGACAATCCTGAATGGATTTTAAACAAATCAAAACACAGCAATTTCTTTATACGCCTAAGCTTCAGTCCATAAGCCATAAATCTAGCCAAACTCTCTTCACCAACCATCATATAACTTTTCCTGACCCGATTCAAAAAACACAGTACCCAATCCTAGTTAGCCTATCTGTTTCAAATTGGAAACCCCCTGTTTTTAGTTACTTGGAAAGAAGCCTAGCTCCTGAGTTAACCGACATTGCCCGACACATTTCAACCAGCCTAGAACAGAAACGATATAGGACTCCAATCCTTTTTTTATACCCTTGTAATGTGATTCAAAACTCAATCCAATGAGACTAGCAGTGTTGCCAATTACGTCAAATCAGCAAAGAATAAACAATGAAAGTATTCGTTGAGTGCAGGACAGATAATGCAGACCCCCCTGATCCAAACAGCAAGGACAAACTAATCAAGAACAGTAACAGCAGGAAAAAGGATTCTGGCAAAAAAACTGTTCCCTTACCTTAAAAGGGCAAGCCTAAGGCAACAACAACGTAGGTCCTGAAAGCTGAGATGGACCACAAGCAACGGCGAAACCTGAGGAAGATAAAAAGAAAGCAGAAAATCAAGAGGAGTTAACAAGGTCCAAGCCTTGCGAAGCCAATGGCAAGAAACGTAACAAAGCAAGATATTAGGGGAAAAAGAAAAGCAGGCTGCAAAGATGCTAATATCAGCTTCAACCACACGAACAGTGAGGAGCATTGAACTGACCTCAAAGTAAGCCTAAAAAAAAGTGGATGCAAAAAAACCTGTTGGAAAAAACTAAAATTAGAAAAGCAAAAACAGATGCTTAACCCAACTTTTCTTTGAGTCGTAAAGCACAGCAAGCACCCAAAACCAGAAACTCTGAAAACAGGACATATGCCATTATATACCGGTGGATAATATGCAGCAAGTATGGCTGCCATGCTGGAAAAAAAAAACGTTAGGAAATAACAGGCTGATTGAACAGGTAAAGGTGCGATTTGACATGCTAGAAAGTGCATGAAAGACATGTAAAAGCCCGAAAGCTGACTGTTACCTAACCCGGTAAAAAAAAAAAAACAGACCATCACAACCGCTCACTATGAACCCGCACTCCCAGCCAGAAGAAAACGCAGACCCCAACCAAAGAAAAAAGATGACAACCCTTCCCTCCACAAAGGACAACACCAGAAGTATGCAGCCCTTAACATGCATTACATGGATGTCAACTCACTCTGTCCAAAACCGTGTGAGTTTCCACCTTTCTTGGGCACAGTAGAGCGCTTCCTAGACTCAGTAGCTGCCGAAAGAAAAGCTTCCAGGATATGAGACAGTATCCAGCAAACACAAGCGAGCCATGATTTAAGGAAAAAACTAATGGGCAACATGAAATTGATCTGACAAACGCACTGCAACACCTAAAATTCTGGGAAAAGAACCATGCCAGCCGAAAGAAAAGGCTGCAAGCAAAGCACTGAAGTTGAAGCAAAAAAAAAAACTCTCTTCTTAGCCCAACCAAACACATAAAAGCCCAGATGAGCAACATTCCCTAGCCCAAATACTTAAAAACAAAGCCCAAGAAAAGTGATCCAACAACCCAAATAAAGAGGAATTAAAAACAACAAAAAACAAAACAGAAAACAAAAAAAAGGCCTGGAGAGTCAGTGCTGTAGTGAATAGTCAATTTTCTCTACATCCACAGTGATTCTCTAATGCCTTTTAGTTTTGGTTTTTTTTTTTTAATTTTAATTTTCATCCCTTGGAGGACGCAAGTGGGACATAACATGACGTTGAGCGTAGAAGAAATGATCATGGGCCTTAATGAACAGTAAGTTTTGGACTGGAAGTATTATGGGCCTGACCACAAGAACCCTTACGGGATGGGCCTATCAATCTCCTGAAGCAATAACTGGCCTAACAAAAATTCTGGAGAGCGAAAATCATCCGGCACGGACAAAAGAGGATTTACAGCAATGGCTATTGCAACAATAGCAGCAGTGGCAACAAAACCATCCTCAATACCCCTGTTAACAAGAAAGAGGCCGAAATGGATCTTCACTCCTTTGGCTTTCTGTTCTTCTTCTTCATCATCAGCAAGTAGAAGAAAACTGATTCTTTATTCAAAGCCTGGATGTTGTTTGTGTGATGGCCTCAAAGAGAAGCTCCAGGCAGCATTCTTGCTCTCTGGCCCTAATTCCCTTCATGATGTTGATTTACAGGTTATCCCACTTGATTTCACTACCCTCCTTTCTCTCTTTTTTCATTCTTACGAATATGTATGCTAGTGAGACTTTATATGTATATGTATATATATTTCTTTATATTATCAGGTAAGGGATATTACCAGCAATCCTGAATGGGAGAGGGCTTACCAGTATGAGATACCCATTTTGGCCAAAGTACTCTCTGATGGCACCGAGGTTAGTTGTTTATTTCACCCCCTTTATTAATTATTAATTTTAAGCTTCAAGTTTGTGGTGATTTTTTTGATGGACATGTGTTGTGTTTCTTCGTCCGTATTGCTCCAATTGGAGTTAAGTTTTGGTCACTGTCATGTATGAGTAGCCGTTAGGGCAATCATTGTCAAGAGAGAACTAGGTTTTGTTTTCGGGTCAGGGCGTCAAATTAAAGTTCAGTGCTCTATTCTAGTGGACAAATAAATTAGGAAATTTCATTTGTAGAGTAGAAAGTTTAGGCATATAGAATTATCGTCTTAGAGAGAAAAAAGAACTGCAGTTTGACAGCGTCGATGTGGTGAAGTAGAATTCCTAAGCTAATAGGTGGGAAAGACTTAAAAGCTATTTGGGATGGAAGGAAAACTCTTGCATGGGAGATTTTTTTCATATGGATAAAGGATTTTACAGGATGAAAATGAAGATAGTGAAACAGGGTTTCATTTATGGACTTGGAGGGGACATAATATGTTGTATTGCTAATCAAACCACTTTGTATAAATTGACACCAATCATTCACCAACAATAGTGGAAACCTCACCAGGTCAATCCATAATTTTGGAGGTCATAATCGATAATAAAAGCTGTCTTTCCAAAGTGGGGGATAGGTTCACCTCTCTATATTATGTCCTCTTCATTGAGTGATCTATGCAACAGAAGATGGTAATGATGAGAATAGGTGCTCTAAAGATAATATTGATTCATAAAGTTCGAAGCTTATAGTAGAGGTGGAAGGAGACTTGATGGTGCCAAACTTTAGCATTTTGGTAATGAAAAAATGATCGTGGCTGGCAGCTACTGTTTGTTAAAAAATTAAGGTTCCACAACTTTGTCTCAAAGGACTTTGTTCAATGGTTAAACTTCTATAAAGACCACTGAGCTTTTCTAGTTTTATGACTGGTCAAAATAATCCATTGAGAGTTCTCAAAGCTTAAAGATTGTATAAATTATAAGCCTCGAGAGATGGACTTCTTTATTGCATTGTGCGACAAATGCACTTAATGGCATATAATGGTATCTATTTCCTGGAACGTTGGACAAAATCTGTGTTGATTTGTAGTATAATCGACAAGCAAGTCCGTCATTTAGATACTATCTTCATACTGCTGTGGAAAAGGATTATTGAGACTTTCATTTTCATTTAATTTTTAACTAATCATGTTGACATTGAAACCATCTATATTTTGTTTATATACAGTGACTTTGGCAAATGGCAAAGTTGTGTTTTGCACACGAAAATAATGATGATGAAATATGTTCTGTCCCCCCCACCCCCCCTTCATCACAATTTACTTCTCCCGGTCTTTGTGTGAGAGTACTTTCAGGTGACAAATCTTTTGTTCTTCTTTTTAAGCTTTTATACTGGTCCTCTTTCTCACGCCCATCAGTTCCACATGCATACACGTCTATCCTGATCCATGTGCTGTTTGTCAAAGGGAGATTCAGATTAAAACTTATCATTTGACTGTTTCTCTGTCACATCTGGCTTTTAGCCCTGCTCATGGGTATAGTTCAAGATTCTAGAGATTGTTGTTTGCATTTGGCAAGCTGGATTCTGTTCAACCTAGTGATTTGCTTAAAATGGTGGGATCCCGTTGGCACTCAAATCACACTTACCTTTGTTTTACAATTTTATAGAATATTAATGTAGTGCCTAATAATGTTGGTAGCTTCTTGTGAGTAGTCTACTTCATATCGATCAACCTGTCGGATGCCCCATTTATTGCTGTCCTGAATGGTTTTAGAAATGGATATGCTCTTGCATCTTAAGCCAATCTCTCTTTCTTCCAGGAAACTTTACCCAGAATATCTCCTCGACTTGGAGTGGAGCTCGTCCACAAAAAGATAGCAGCTGCTTTGATCCAATAAGGTTCCTCTACATAATTAAAATTCTAGCTGGTGTGAAATTTGTTATTGCATGGGACAATGTATCTTGTCAGAAAAGACTGGACATAAAATGCCTTTAATAACTTATGTTCAAATGAATTTTGAATTCATCAATAATGATCTCCAAAAGGCACTCTTAATTCTGCCATCGGAACTGATCACATGGCGTTTAATTATGCTCCTCTACTGGAAGAAAACTAGATAATGCTATCAATATCTTGGTGATTTGCAAACCACCATTTTCTATTCATTGAGACACACCATTGTCTATTTCTTATCATTTACCTGCCCTCATTTTCTGCTAAGTATTGCATGCCAAGGCTTTGAAACCTTGAAAACCTTTGTGGAAATGTAAAATTGCCCCAGTTTAATGTTCATACATCATCTGGCAAAATAAAAGAAAATATATATGTGTTCTGGCATCATTGTTATTAACTAATATTCATGTGATTCATGGCGTTCCAATTGGAAAGTGTTTTATTTAGTTGTATGCTCTTTTATTTTTTTGTTCTGGCGAAGTTAGTAATTTCTTAATAACGTGGATCTCAATCAAGCAACTGGGTTATTCAATTGGTAAATGGCAGCACTTTAGACGAATCTGACCAGTAAAGTGAACCTCTCCATATATCTATTCACAATGTCACATCATCACTGAAATATAAGAACGGGCCTCTTGAGATTTCCATGATTAGACAAGGGTGCCTCGAATGATGCTTGCTTAATCACTGTTTATATTAAAGAGGGCACTCCATTAGCACAAAGTTTCTCGATATTTGCTAGGATTATGTTTCTATCTCCCTTCATAAGATTACATTATCCTCTGCATCTCCTTTGCAAGTTGATATGATAAAATGTGATTGAATACATGGCCCTGCTAGCACTTTCATTTCCTTAACAGAGGGAAAGCAGGTAGAATTCATTTTAGTATAATCTTCAAAGAACCTTCACCTTGAATTCATTTCCTACAGGGACTTCAACATGCATAAAGGAAGCCCTTTTGACTGTTTTTGTGCTTTGTGATAAGAAGACAGATTTTCTTCTCCCCTTTATATCAATTTATTTCAAAGGGTCCCAATTTCTTTTTATATATCCTTCACTGTTTTTGAATTATTAGGACTAATGTATTTAATCTTTCAACTAACAAACATACGACGGGGTTTGATGCACATATAACATAGAAAATAAATTCTATAAAGCTAATATATTTATGTATAAAATATGGTCTGAGTGGCCTAATCCCATTAGCATGTCCTTTTCCATGCACGATGTTTACTTTTAATTACTTTTCCCTCGTTTGTGATGGGGAAGCTCTTGACCGAAGAAAGAGAGAGAGAAAGAAAGTAAGCTCTTGTAATAGAAGTTGGGTTACAATAAGTCTGGGGGTATGGTTGTAATTTATTTTTAAAAATATATATTAAAATAATATTAAAGAAAGAAAGAAAGCTCTTATAATAGAAGTTGGGTTACAATAAGTTTGGGGATATGGTTGTAATTTATTTTTAAAATATTTTTTTTTTAAAATATATATTAAAATAATATTTTTATATGTTTTAAAAAATATTTTTTATATCATTATATTAAAATATCTGAAAATATTAAAAAAACCTTTAATTTAAAACAAAGAAAAAAATAAATAATTTTTAATTTTTTAAAAAAATATTTTTGAAATACAAAAACAAATAACTCTTTAATATCAATCATTTGCTAATGGGTGTTTAGTACTGTATTATTTTTTCAGTTTATTTATTAAAAAAAAATTACTTTAGCTACTTAGTTAATCCCTAAAACTTAAAACTTGTAAAATCATGGAAGGTTAAATCTAAAAAAAAAAACTGAATGATGAAATTATAAGTTGAAAAATTTACAAACAAAAAGAAACAGAGCAACAAAAAGAATAAGAATAAAATTTAACCAAAAAAATGCAAGGAGGATAAAAATTTAAAATAATTTCATATAAAATAAACAGTAATGAATACAATGAGGATTAAATTTGAAAGCTTAAAAAATTACAGGGGGTGAAATTAAAAAATATTTATAATTTGATAAATCATTTATAAATTAAAAAATAACATAGGGTTAAATAGAAAAAAACTATAGGGGCAACATGCAACTCATCAAAAGACAAACCACAAAAAACAATAAAACAAAAACTGGAAAAAATAAAGATAAAGATAAAAAATTAAAAAAAAATATCATTAAAAAAATCAAGCAAATTTCATAAATTTGGTCTAATTTCTAAAAATTACAACCCTAGAAACCTTATATTCAGATTCATCCAAGAAATTTATCATTAACTAATTTAATCTTAAATAATGAAATTAGGAGAATATTATATAAAAAAGCTTGCAAAAGAAAAAAACAGATTGAAGAAAGAAATGAGAATAAATTTGATAGAATTAAATAATAAGAACCAAATTTGAATGATAAAAAAGTCATACGAGGTGAAATTAAAAAAAAATAATTTCACGGATTAAAAAATTACAAGGAGTGAAATTGAGAAAAATGATAGACAACTCACAAAAAATAACAGAACAAAACAAAAAATGATAAAAAGAAAAAAAACATCACCTTAGAAAAGGAGAAAAACACGTGAACTTTTTAATTCTAGCCTCTAAAACTCATAACCCTTGAAATTTTAAATCGAAGTTAAATTAAAAAAATTATTTTTTAATTAATTTAATTTTAAATGATGAAATTGATGAAAATGTATCAATAAAATATATGCAAAAGCCAAAAAAAAAATAAGGATGAAATTTGATATAAATAAAATCAAAGAATGATGAAATTATGAAAAAAAATTAAAAATGATTTCAAATAAAGGATAAAATTTAACCAAAAAAATGCAAGGATAAATTTTTAAAATAATTAAAATAATTTCATATAAAATAAATAGTAATGAATATAATGAGGATCAAATTTGAAAGCTTAAAAAATTATAGGGGGTGAAATTAAAAAATATCTATAATTTAATAAATCATTTATAAATTAAAAAATAACATAGGGTTAAATAGAAAAAAAAACTATAGGGGCAACATGCAACTCATCAAAAGACAAACCACATAAAACAAAAATTGGAAAAAATAAAGATAAAAAATAAAAAATTATCATTAAAAAAATCAAACAAATCTCGTAAACTTGATCTAATTTCTAAAAGTTACAACCCTAGAAACCTTATATTCAGATTCATCCAAGAAATTTATCATTAACTAATTTAATCTTAAATAATGAAATTAGTGAAAATATTATATAAAAAAACTTGCAAAAGCAAAAAACAGATCGAAGAAAAAAATGAGAATAAATTTGATAGAATTAAATAATAAGAACCAAATTTGAATGATAAAAAAGTCATACAAGGTGAAATTAAAAAAAAATTCATGGATTAAAAGATTATAGGGAGTGAAATTGAGAAAAACAATAGGCAACTCACAAAAAACACAGAGCAAAACAAAAAATGATAAGAAAAAACATCACCTTGGAAAAGGAGAAAAACACGTGAACTTTTTAATTCTAGCCTCTAAAACTTAGAACCCTTGAAATCCTAAACCGAAGTTAAATTAAAAAACTTAATTTTTAATTAATTTAATTTTAAATGATGAAATTGGTGAAAATATATCAATAAAAAATATGCAAAAGCCAAAAAAAACATGAGAATAAAATTTGATATAAATAAAATCAAAGGATGATGAAATTATGAAAAAAAAAATTAAAAATGATTTCAAATAAAATTGGTAGAAATTAAAAAAATAAATATCAAATTTGAAAGATTAAAAAAATCTTAGAGGTAAAATTGAAAAATATTTGTAATTTGATAGATTATTTATATATTTAAAAATGGTAAAGTGGTGAAATAAAAAATTATTTGTAATTTGAAAGTTTAATTATAGATTCAAAAAATAATAGAGGGTGAAATTAAAAATTATTTATATTTTTATAGTTTATTTTTTTTTTTTAAAAAAAAAAAAAGCATAAAAACCAAATATCAAAGGAAAAACAATTAAATGGGTTGTTTTGAAATTTTGGACGACTTGACACAGGATTTGATAGGAAAGAAAGAAGAAGAGAAGAAAAAACAATAGTCGATACCGAACCAGCGACAAGTATGATACATGTGGCCCACCACCAAGTAAAAAACTTCGAGATTTTCCAAGTGCCGCCCGGGAAAATGATGTTTGGTGGCCAGATAAAATCATATATGCCGCTTGAACGGCACAGGGCCATCCACACGTTCACGTGTGCAAAGCACGTTACTAGATGTTTATTTTTAAAATAATATTAAATAAATGAGTATTATAATATTATCCCTAAGCAACTTATAAATTTTAATATATATATATATACACACATATAATATAACAAAAACATAGTTGCATTATTTTTGTCTCCAGCAACACCAATACAATTGTGCTATTTCAAAAAAAAAAATGATAAAAGCGTTTCGAGTCAAAGGCATTAGAATTATTTATTAGAACTAAATTTATAAATTTTTTGTGCATTAAAAAATAAAATAATAAATATAACCCTATATAATATATAAAAAATAATTGTCTCATAGTAAAAAAAGAAAAAACAATTTCACCCCAAAGACAAGTTCCTTGCTTTTTTTTCCGGGGACAAAAGAGTAAATACATTAGCACAATGAATATAAAAATGAGTATTGGCCTAGATAACTTTTCCTCCATATTTAGTTTTTTTTTATTTTTTAATGTAGATGATGAGATTAATTATTCATTTTGTGATATTGGCACATTGCTGAGTCAATTATCACAAACGATTTGACTTGTCAAGAAAAGGGCACAGGAAAAGTATGAAAAGTTGGTTTCTTATCCTGTCTTCTTCGTGCTTGCTGAACGGGAAGCAACCATGTGAGCAGAAATAATGGCATCAATAAGCTACAGTCTCAATGTTGCAAAAATCATCAGAGAAGTTCAGAAAAATATGAATAAAGAAGCGACACGTCCCATGTTGCGGGGGGTTCCATCCTTCTGATATGCCTGCTTTAATTTCCATTACGCAGTGTCGTTCTTCTTTCCAGCGTCTATTATAAAACACACGCACACACAAATAATAATAAAAAAAATAATAATAAATCAATTATAAAAAAAACACATAAATTAATGTAGGATAGATTACATTAGAAAAAGAACATCCGAAGCAAAAAAAATTATCAACAAAAAACCTAATTAATAAAATATTGAAAAGTAAAATTAAAAAGAATGATTTTAATAAAAAAAAATCTAAAACAAAACACAATAAA